ACTTACGTGTTTGTGTCCAGGGCTCAGAGTCCAGCTTGGAGCTCAGAGCAGGAACCGGTTTTGCTTAGGAAATCACCCATCTAAGGGAAACATTGTTTTAAAATAGATTTAGTATAACTGCAGCAGCAGCAGCACAAAACATCACATCTGAGATGCAGCAGAGCTCCAGACCTGGATGCAGTAAGCACACACTGATTATTTTGAAGTACTGGCCGCCCAAAAAAAGTACACTTACCAGCGTGCTTTTGTAACATTCAGGGCACAGATGCCACTTGGCTTCTAATACCGCGGTGTTATGAGGCTCTTGTGAGAGACAACCCGTGATATTTTTTCCTGCGAGCAGTCAACAGTGATTGATGACTCTATTAGAATGACGGCTCTGACTCCATGTTTTCTGCATGGCCCTCAACACCGTGCAAAAAGCAATGACTTAAGGAGCTTTTTTAGGTCTCAATCCCTCTGATCAAGAGTCAGTATATCCTCTTTGTTCAGCTGCTTGTTATATGGGTCAGAAAAGGCTTGTTTCATGATTTCTCCGGCTTATGAACCTCTGCCTTGACCTGCATTTCCAAAAGAGAGCTAATAAAAGGAAGAATTATCTCGTAAAAGAAGTATCTGTATTCCAACTGCACATATTCGTAGCCCTGACCAACTAACATTTCTCTTCCCCTCCATTTTGCCCAGTTGTCTCACTATTTTCTACAGACTGTCACTGCTGTGCTTCAAAGTAAGAAAATGATTTCTTTTTTGAGGGTTCAAGCTTATATTTTGTAATATTATACTCTCTCAGCTGAGAACAGATGGAGAAATAACAGATACTGTGTACGTTTGCTCTGCAAATATATATGTATTTAAACTTGCACACACATACACATGGTCTGAGACACATGCTTGACAGTGTCCTTAACACAAAGTTAGCTGTCTCAACGAACAGTCATCCCTCAAACCAGGGATTTACTATTTCTTTGCCAGCCATTCTCACAGAAACCTCTGGTTTCCATGCTTAGGCCCCAGACAGTAGACATCAATGCATTCCTTAAACAAACAAAACCCAACTCCAACCCAAACACCAAGGGGTCATCACTTCCTAAGCTGACATAAAAAATTAACCTTGGCCCAACATCACAGTGCCATGTACCCTCAATGCAAGAAAGCCAATTAAAATTGAAGGATGTCAGGATGGTGCACATCTATCAGAACAGGGGTTGGGTGCTGCTGTAGTGAAGGCATTATTCCTATTTAAGTCAGGAAGATCTTTTTTTTTTCCCAAACCGATCAAAACCAGTTTATATTATCAAAGAATCCATATCTAGCTCGTAACAAACTATAAAATACCCCACATACAACTCGTTTACTATGTCCATACGGTAAGAGCTTACGTTTGTTCGCTTCCTGCGCACAGGGCCCAGCTTCCTCTCCATCACCACCTTCTTTGCAACGATCGGTTACTATTCCTGCT